CAAGGCAAGTGAATTACCTATAGATCTTGTTGAATGCAGATTTTGGTTCACCGGAGCCTGGCCTGGGCTGGAATTCTGCAGTTTGAACAATTCTGGTACTGCTGGTGCTGCTGGTGCTGCTGGTCCTAGACTGATGCTGTGTGAGTGGCAAGGTTCAATGGCACAAGGCAGCTGGAGTGGTACAGGGGACAAAGCAATACCAGGAAGGCCAAGAATGAATCCATGGGCTGACTCGTCATGATTATTTGTTCTTAAGCAGATTGTTTTACCTCTCAACCTCAGTTTCTTCATCCATATGTATCTTGGAGATTAAATAAGTTAATGCACATATGATATGCTTTAAGCAATGCCTGAAACCAACTAAGTGTTCATTAAATTTAGACAATGTTAGTGTAATTTTTAATTATTATCAGTAGAATTTGAAGTCTCATTTGCATAAAAATTAGTTATAGTAAATATTATAAATGTCCAGACACACATAGAAGTTTCTCATATGTATACACCACATTTTGTACGTTGATATCCATTAGTAATTGTGCATACTCTTTGACTCATAGTTCCCATAAGTTAGATGGGCTTCAAACTGTCCTGTCTTATGACCAATAAGATGAATTTGAATTGGCCAGCCTAGATGTAGTAACACGCACTCTAATTATTAGACCAAAGAAATCAACTGGCTTAATGGCTATGACTTCCAGTTTGGTTTGGTTTGGTTTTTAATTTTTGTTTTTTTTGAGACAGAATTTCACTATGCAGTTCAGGCTGGCCTTAAACTGACTGCATAGCCCAGGCTGGCATCAAACTTGTGGCGATCCTCCTGCCTCAGCCTCCAAAGTGCTAGGATTTCAGGTGTGCACCACCACCCTGGGTATGACTCCACTTTAATAGCCTCAATCTAGGGCTGGGGATGTAGCTCAGTGATAGAGCGCTTGCCTGGCATACTCGAGACCCTGGTTTCAATCCCACGTGGTACTGTGTAAAAAAAAAAACAAACCATTTCTACTAACAAATGTGATGACTGCTGATTTTGTGAGTATACTGTAAAGCCATCCTCTTGAAAACTTCTTTAGCAATGAAGTATTTATTACTGTTGCATATCAGGTACATACAAGTGCTATTTATCATTTTGTCTTCATCAAAAGCTGGTTTTATTATATTACCTAGAGAAATGTAGGTAGACAGTTCAGCAGGTGCAGCATGGCGACCTCCCTACACATCATCCCTCTGTTCTGTTAGGAAAGGAGCCTCTACATATGAACCTTAAGTGGCTTACAGAGTTTATTAAGGTCTGACCCAATGCTGGGAGATTGCCTTGCCCTTAGGTCCTCTCTGGGCAAAGCAAGGTACAGTGGACCCTTGACTTCTAAACTCAGTGGGTTCCCAAGGGCTAATTGTAACTAAGTCTATACAGCTCAGATCTGGATGTTCACTTGAGTATGTGCCATAGATGACAAGAGGCAGATGAACTTCCCATAAACCTCATTAACCCACGTTGTTCGTGTGTCGGGCTGGTCATAATTTGAAGGTCCACTGTAGTTCTAGGATTGGTATTGATGCTTTCATCTATTTTAGTGCAATGATTTCCTGGAAATTTAAAAGGGTGGACCAGAAGATTTCTTAGTTTAACCTACAGGTAATTTCTGTAGAGCCAACTCAGCCAGGTGTAAGTCTGCAGACACTCAGCCAAATCTGGTGAAGAGTCTAAAGGTGTGTTGGCCACTAGCTATATTTCACTTTTAAAATTCATTCACTAATTTCCAAACTATGCCATTCATACAGTGTGTCCATTTATTATTCTATTCCTATTCCACTGTAAATTATTATGAAGCCTCTTTTATTAAGTTTCTGGCACAACTGTTAGTCATTACAAAGGCCTTTCTCACTTTGTAGTTTTCTACAAGTTGCAAGCTCACATCTAATTTAAAAGACCAATGTTCAGATCAAGAGAGCAGAGCCAAAAGGAGGAGGGATCCATGTGGGTTCTGCAAGCATTCAGTCCAGATGGGAGCCTGTGTCACTGTCTCAGGGCCTGGCCTGTGTTACCTCTCTGGACAGAGTCCTTCAAAGAAATGTATCTTCCCTTTCCTTCAGTCAGCATGTGTGTCTTCCATTTCTGGTACCTGCAGAAAGCAGGACATTGGGCTAAGCCATGGTTGGCTCATGAGACTCCTGCTACTGCCTGGTCCACAATGGAGGGCACAGCTAGAGTGTCCCACACCCCAGCCATCACAGCCCCAGGGTCTGCTCCTGACCAAGGGGAAACAGGTTTCCGTCCAGGAAAACTACATTGAGTCCTTTGGTGTGAAGACACAGGCCTGTTTTCACTTCCGGGCTTCTGTAACCAGGAAGGAAATACTGTACTGTTGCTAAAAATGACTTTTCTTCAGAATTTTCAGATTGCTCTAAAATCTAGAATTCTTTTCATTTATAAATGTCAAAATTATTAGGTACCTAGGACATTATATGGGAGAACATTTTCATCAGGAGTTATCTCCTGTTTGATGACTTAAATCACTGCTGATGGCTCAGGCTCAAAACCCTGTGTTCAAATTTATATCTTCCATTTTCTCAGCATCTTTCCTGGACACCTTATACTGATGTGCTTCTCAGGACCATCCTTTCAGCACCACTGCTCACTAACACTGCTTTAAGCTTATCACCTTGTTCAGTAAACACTGATGACCCAGTAAATAACACAGCCAGCCTGAATTTGGGGGTTCTGGGTGAGCCCTCCTGGAGTAACTCGAAAGAGAGTCTGAGTCAAGGTTATTGAGCTGATCTTTTAGGATAGGCTTAGGGGGGGTTAGATGGAGTGAGACAAAGTGGGGAGCGTGAGACGGGGAGCCATAGCAATGGCTAACATTCTTTGGGGGGTGTGCTGTGACCTAGGGGTGGGTGGGCCATGTTTAGTAGAGTAGGCATTGTTCCCTGGGTTCAGGTGGCTGGGAAGAGCCCTTCCAGGAGCTTGGATTGCTGGAAGAGAGGCAGACATGGGTCAGACCTATCAGACCTCACACCTGCATTGTCATAATAACTTAAAAATATTATGGATTATAAAAGTGATATGTACTAGGGCCGGGGATTTAGCTCAGTGGTTCTGCTGCCTGCCCTGCAAACACAAGGTCCTGAGTTTGATCCCAGTACCAAAAGGAAACAAAAAAGTGATATGTGCCTAGTGTAATTTGGAGAATATGGTAAATATAAGAAAACAAGTTACCATTGAGAGATAGATGCTATATATTCTGGATTTTTATTTCCAGTCCTAAACAAGTGCCCCATCAGGTATGTGTATGTGTGAGTGTGTGTAAGGAAATTTGGATCTACCCTGTATGGTTTCATATTGATTGGGGGGGGGTGCCGGGGATCAAACTCAGGACCTTACACTTGCTAGGCAGGTGGTGGAACCACTGAGCTAAATCCCCAGCCCTTCGTAATGATTTTTACTTACGTGATTTTTTTTTTCTTGAGCTATGCATGTTCCTATATCACTAATAAGTACTTTTTAAAAAAGTGAATGGATAAATAGTATTCTCTTACATGAAGTAGAGAAAATTTTACTTAACCAAGTTGTTAGCTAATATTTCAATATTAAAAATTTTTCAGTATTAAAAACAATGCTTGTTTTTCAGTATCTGTTCACAGTGGAAGATGGTGAGAGAGAGCGTAGGCTTCGGAGCACCAAAGACTGTGGCTTAAGTCCTACTTGAGCCATGTGTTCCTGATTCTCAATGCAATCCTAAACGTCAGCTGTCTTCTTTGTTAAATAAAGATTATAACAGTACTTTTACCAGTCTTGTTTTCATTTATATGAGATGCAGGTGGCATGGTGGCACACACCTGTAATCCCAGCACTTGGGAGGCTGAGGCAGAAGGATTGCCAAGAGTTTGAGGCCAGCCAAGGCTGCATAGTGTGTTAACGGACAGCCTGAACTATGTAGTGAGGCCTTGTCTCAAAAAATAAAAACAAAAAATTTGCATGAGTTGTGTATAATGTACACTTGTTTACATAGACCTTGTCACCTAGTAAATTTGAATAAATATCAGATGCTATTTAATAGCCTCTGTTATTAATCATCTGCATCTTCCTCTCATAGCCCCTAGAATCTAGATTATAGCACCAAATTGCCTAAATGTTATAATATACTTTAATAATATATTACCGAGTTGATTGAATGATTCTATCAATTTATAATTACACAAGTAGTATAAGAACATACCTAGTCTCTCCCCTTTCCCTTATTGGATCCTGTCTTCTTTCTGTATCCTTTTTTATTTTTCTCATTGAGTTTATTGGTACTTTCTCAGTATACAGAACAGTTATACTCATCATTGGGGTCTTGTACCTTTACGTGACAGGTCTTGGTTCTGTCTTCTTTCTTATTGTCCACAAATGTGACACACAAAAATTGTATCCTGTAACTTGTACTTCTCTGCCATTTGCATTTTTGTGTGTAATTTAGATGTACCAATGAAAAAATTTTAAATGTTCAATTGCCCAACTATATTCTTTCTTCGTAAGTTATTGAAATCTGCGCTCATTTTTTATCAGCTGTACATCTTTTTTCTTTCCAAACCACTGAGTTCTTTGTGTGTCACAAAAATTATTTGTTAAATAATTCTAATAGTTCTAAAGTTTATTGTGCTTTAGAACTTTAAGATGCGGAAACATGCTATCTAGTTTCAGACACTGCCTGGCAGAGAGTACATGCTCAGTAAATCCTCAGTTTTGTGATTCATCTTTGTTTTTTCCCACACCTAGCATTCTGTGTCTTGTACATAGAAGCAGAATAAGTACCTGTTAATATATGCAGATAGGAGCCACTCACCCCTGCTCTCTCTGCACAGAAGGCAATGTTTCCTGCTTGCTTTTGTCACCTTCTTCCTATTCAACTTAGATGAGTCACTGTCTCTTGGACTTTACTTGGTTGTTACCATGTAATTTTCATGACACTTTGCTAAAACTCTGTAAAATCAGGTTATCTCCCTCGTTTCATTTCTAGGTAGCAAACCTGAATATGGCAAGTGGTGCCATAAACAGGAGCAGTGCTTCAACGCCTCCCACCCTGCGACCTGTCATCAGTCCCAGTGGTCCAGCGTGGTCAATACAGTCTGACTTCCACACCCCTGAAGGCCACTCCAGCCTCCCTGGAAGCAGGTATGTGAAGGGCCCTGGAGCTGACATTTGGGTTGCACAGGAATGGCCTGGGTCCCCGCAAGCCATTTCCACCTTCAGCTCACTACAGAGACAGTCGTCTCGCCTGGCACTTGAGTAAGACAGCCTCGTGTTATTTGTAAGGCATCTTTTGGGAAAATAAAATGAGAAGAAATTTCTGATATGTTTAAGAAAATCATGTCTGGATGAAAGAACAAGAGTTAGCACTATGTTTAATCCTTGTTTCTAATCAACATTTTCACGTACTGGACCCCAAATCCAGTGAGTTTTGACATGTTGTCCTTGCCTCTTATTTTTGGGTTTTGTTGTTGTTGTTGTTGTTGTTGTTGTTGTTGTTTTTATATATATACCTTCAAAGGTCATATTTGGGAATTTTGTTTTTTCTTTTTTTCTTTTCTTTTTTTTCTTTTCCACTACTGAGTAATGAACCCCGGACCTTCACACTGAGCCATATCCCCAGCCTTTTTTATTTTTTTTAATTAATTTTATTGGTATGTTTTAGGTATATAATATAATGACATTCATCATTGGAAATTCGCACCTTTGCATAATCCATCTTGGTTTGTATTTTTTTGCCCCATTCCTCCGACTTCCCTTCAATCCCTCACCCCTCCCTATCTACAAAGACTTTGTTTCCATTTTTTCCTTTTTCTCATATTAATTCCATTCCCTGCTTTCTTTTTCCCTACCCCTCACACTTCCCCTTCCCCTTTATACCTTTTCTTCCTATTTCACATTATCTTTTTATTTTTCAAGAAAAGCACTTTAGTCGCTTTCTCATCGCTGGGAACCAACACCCACAACCTAAAGAAACAAGTGTTTATTTTGGCTAATGGTTTTTGGAGGATTTCAGTCTGTAGTTGACTGGCTCCAAGGCAAGAAGGGTCTGGCAGAGGACAACTGTTCACGTCATTGCAGCCAAGAATCTATGGATTATCAATGGATTAACCCATGAGTGTAGCGCCCCATGATCCAGTCACCTCCCCCCAGCCCAGACTCTGAACACACGAGCCTCTCTAGGGGGACTCTAGATCTAAACCATAATAGGGTCTCGTTAAGGCACTGAATTACTCAATCTGGGCTTGAACTTGTGATCTTCCTGGCTCAACCTTCCAGGGTGCTGAGATTACAGACACACACCACCATGCCTGACTGCCATATTTGTTTTTATGTTTTCACCTAGGTTATATGATTAAACTCAAACAGCCTCGTTGGGAAAAGCCTCATTTGGGAAGTGAAAGGAAATTTCGTTTATGTAATTGAGGGAGTGATAAAGGACAAAATCCAACTAAACTTTGGCCATAAAGTTAGCAAATTCTGAATTGAAGAAGAAGAAATCACTGTATTAATTTCTGGTCTCACTCCATATTTTAAGTTTTTCTGTACTAAAAATATAAGAAATGGGTTCAGTTCCCAACATGTCTTGCGTTAGCGGCTATTAAGTATGGATTAAATTTCATCAGTCCCTAAGTCAGATGAGTCAGAGAAATGTGACTTGTTCTAGTGAGTTTCCTGGCCACTGAGATTCAGTCCTTCCAAATAAGCTCTGCCCCAGCGAGTCCCTGCCCCTCTTGTCGGTACTTCTAGCCTCTGCCTGTTATGTGCTGCCATGTTCTGCCATGTTCGTGGGAGGACTGAACCTCTCTGGGCCTGAGGGAAATACCTCATTTTTGTCAAAGTATCTGTTGGTGTCAGAATTATTACTTAAGGAGCTCATTGGGGAACGAGCCCAAGAAACAATATAAACATAAGCACATTATATCGTGGTATGACATCTTTGAACTAGTAATCATTGTGGTTGGGGTGAAAAGTGTCATCTCAGTTGAGAATTATGGAGAGTTGGAGACCAAGATGAAGGACTTTTTCAGACAGGACATCTTCCACACAGTTTTCTGTCGTTTGGTGATTTACAATCTACAGAGTAACCACATTCCCGAAATATAAGTTGTAAAAAAGAAATTCTGTTTATACCATAGAGCTTTATTTTCCATATAAAATGTTTCCACGTATTCCATGTTCATGTTAAAATCAGAGCCTTGTTTCTGTGAAAAACATTTTCACTGCAATCTTTGGTACATTCCCATACTGTAAACAACATGTCAAGAGTACACATTTTGGAGAAGTAGAAAAAAAACGTAGAGTATTTTATCCTTGTAGGTGGAGTGAGGGCAGAAATTTTTAATAAAAATAATGGCTGAGTTTAGAGCTTTCTCTTACAACACCTGTTAGTAGTGAGATAGAAACCACCCAGATGGATCTGTTAAGGTCAGAGCTGGGACCCAGAGGTCAGCACGGTGAGTGGCTCTTTCCCAGCCAGACTATGCCTGGGACTGCGTTTGATGTAATTACACATTATACAGTTTACTTCAGAGTCGCTGCAGCCAAAATGCAACTCCACGAAGTCCCCTCATCTCTTGTTTTTTTTATCTAGTTCTGCCCACAACAGCCCTCTCTTTGCTTCCTCTTGAAGCATAAGGGCCAGTTGTAAGGTTCTGTTCCAGTCCAGGGTGGCCCTGGGAAGTCTGTTACTGTCCCCAGGTAACCTCTGCTTGCTGGGATAGCTGGAGAGTCAGCTTGGGAGTTCCAGTTCCACATGGAATTCTGAGGTCCCCACCCCAGAGCAGCCCTCAGTGAATTCTCAAGATCCTTCCAGAGCTGGCTGCACAGTACTGAGTCCTGATTTCCATTTTTATATGGTAGGTTTTGTGGATTTTTATTTAGTGTCTTGTTCCTCCTTGATACTAAGGGTGACTAAATTTAATGACTATGGTATTCATAGCTTAAGTTGTGAGCTTTTGTTATAAGTTTTGACACTAAGTGACCCTAAGCTATTCAATTTAATTTTTTTATTGGGTTAGCATACTTACATATAAACTGGCCTGTTTCAAGAGCTTTTAGGTTGCTTTTAAAGCACTTTCATCTCCCTAAAGTGAGGGCTAGGTAAATAAAAGGTACTCTTACTAGTTTTTCTGCATAGCAACAGTGGATTCCAGTCCTGATAAATTCTAATTCACCAAACCAGAGGCTGCCCTGTAAACTGGAATGAGATGTAAAGAGAATCCCACTGCTGCTGTACTTTTCATCTCTGCGTGTCGGAGAATTCAGTGACTTGGTAGCCACAGGAATGAAAACTGGTGACTCACAAGAACTCTGCAAATAGTGTTATTTTTCATTTCCCCATGGTGTTGCTATTGTTCTCAACTTTATGGATCACATAAGTTTTCACCAGACAACCTTGTTCTTCCCCCGCTGTTGGAAACCACTCCAAATGTAGCCTCGGGGCTGTCGTCTCCCATTGGGTTAGTGCGAGCTCAGCCCAGCTCCTCAAATCCCCTGGTTCCTTTGGTCTGTCTGGAGTCCCTGCTCGGGCTTTGTTGTGGGAGAGGAAGGCAAAGAGCCCATGACTTGCCCAGACAGTCTGAGGCCTGGCCATGCAGCTTGCAGTTCCCTAGACGCTCTGGAGCTGGACTTGGCCAGCCATCCTGCTGTTGTTACTTTTCAGAGGTAATAAGTGAGATTAATTACAGGCCTCTCTCCAGAAGAGAGAGTAGTCAGGGCCAAATGCAGTCACATGTTTAGGAGCCTGAGGTGAGCCTCCAAACAGGGCCAGCTTACAGTTATACAACAGGGACTCCGGGGTGCAGGTACCGCACATTTATGACCTCCTTTTTCTCCAAGCCATGTTTCCGGTCTCTAAATGCTGATACCTGGGTGTTTCAGCTGTGGTCTGGCCAATGAGAAAGGTTGGACTTTTCAAGCTGCCTTTTAATTTTCTGAGTTCTGGGCACATGGGGAGTCATTAGGAGCTGAGAGCTGATGTGTACAGGCATCTCCTCATTACTGCCAGCCTTCTGTGGAGCTGGACCGTTGCAAGGAGGAGGATTTTCTAGGTGAGCAGCATTCATTGGGTTCATAGTGCATTTTTCCTTATGAGTGCTGGAAGGGTTACTGTAAAGTCTTGGCTGCTGGTTGGAATGATTTGGGAAGGACAGGGCCTCAGACAGCTTGGCAGGAACCTGAGGCTCTGTTTTCTTCCAGTCCAGCCCTTCCTTGTGGATGGAGCTGTCAGGGAATCCCACGAATGTCTGGCTTCTGCCCCTTTGTATGTTTTTCCAGCATTTGTCATTGAATTATTTTTATCCATCTCTGGCTTTTTTACACACACATCCTTGGGATTTGTCTGTTCCTCGATATTAAAGGTAGGGGAAGTTGACAAAAGAGTACAGACCTGAGTTTGTTCCTACTTGCATTAAGACAAGAAATGGGCACGGGCTGCTTATCTCGCCAGCACCCACTTGCTAGGGAACATCTGAGTGTCATAACTCTGAATTCTACCAAGGAGGAATGGGATGGCTTGGAAATTCAGGCCAGTTTTGTTGTCACCTTGTCCCTTTGCCCTTTTACTCTTCAGTAATAGGTCAGAAAGAGTCTGATATTTAAGACCATGTTTTTCAGGGACTCTGATTCTAGTTTACCTAATATTCTCCTCCTGTTAGGTTATTTCTTAAGTGTGCTGTCGGAGATTTAGAGCCTCTCACTTCTCATTGTTTCATTTTCAGTCAGTCCTTAGAAACGCTGGGTCTGTTCATTTAAAAAAAAAAAATGTATGTCAGGCATTGTGTTGGATGCTGCGGAGTTGCCACGAATAATAGAATCGTCCCTGATCACTCAGGTTTGCTGTTGAGGCTGTACTTGTGCTCAACACAAGGTAGAGTCTAAGAGAGAGCTAAGATATGACACTGATCACCAAGAGCTTAGCATCTGGCATGGAAAAGGAGCCATATAGACGTGAAACACCTAGAGAACAGTGTTGGGCAGCATATAACAAAAATCAGATTTTCTGGCACAGACAATCAGAAGAATATCAAAAAGAATAAGTAAGAATTTGATCTTGTCACATGGTAGGCTACAACATGGGTGAACCTTGATGGTCACAGAATAAGCAAAATGAAAGAGAAATACTACATAAGTTACTTATATGA